GTTTTATGTTAAAAAATCTGAGGGTTTAATTTCACTTTAATGTTGAACAGAAATGTGAGGTTTTTTTTTTCCCTCAATAAATTTGTTAACAGAATATTGAGAATAAACATATGGTAGTAAACCATAGGGAAAATAGAAGACCGTGTTCAGATAATGTAGTAAAATTTATGTTTTTGTTTTTTTTATTACGAGCAGTATTCTTTCTCTCTTTCTGTAAGTATAGTCTAGACACAAGAATAGAAGACGTTTGAATGGAAATAATCCGCTTTCTAATAGAGTTCCCTTTCTCACTGTTGTTATCCACTCCCTTCTATTGTATCATTTCTTAGATATTCATACCTACCTTTTTGTTGCTAAATGGTTGTATATATTGATATGCTAACATGACTGCTTGGTGTAAAGCTTTACTAGGATGGTTAGTTTTAACATAGGGTGTGTATTTCCCCTCCTGCAGAGATGATGATATAGAGGTGTTAAATGATAATGCAGAATCCTCGGGGGATGCTGCAGCAGCACCACCAATTGGGCGAACCTCCAGGTGAGTGAGGGACTTATTGTATGTTTATACCATACAGAGGTAGTTACGGGTCTTCTGGTTATTGTGTATATATAGCAGAGACTGTATTTTGGTGCAGTACTGCATTTTTTTTGCAGTAGTTCGCTACTCTGTGCTGTGTTTGTGTGTCTTTTTCATTTATAACCTTTGCAGTTTTAACATCCTAACTCTTAATGTCCTGTTTGTTTTATGTTATCACTTGTAGGATTCATTTCTTAATCTCCTAACAGAAAAATGTCCACACCGAAAGACCCATAATTGTGATAGAAATTTAATTGCACTGATCTTAATATTGCTTTCTCCTATATATACACATGCATACATACATACACGTGCGCCAAGCTTTGTGCAGATATTATCTATAGCCCATGATGAAATTACTGCAGTGCAAAACATCACACATTTTAAGGGTTCGTTAAGAGTTAATTTCTACCAGAGATGTTATCATAGTTTTTATTACATTTTACAGTGCAAGCAAAGCGCAAAGACACCATACATTTTTTTTTCCAATAGTTTCCGACGGTGTGTTTACATTGAAGTGCATGAGAAACAAAGTTCCCCATTCTCCATTTTGCATCTTGAACTTGGAGTTTGATTTTCAAGTTAGTTTCCACAATGCAACATGCGTTAACGCACACTATGTTGGGAATAAACCCCAAGAGGCTTTTCATTAAAAAAAACTAAAGCTGGCTTTGTGTATTGCAGGCAGCATAATTAACTAACGTGGCTTACAAATATCATCTTTCACAGATGAGTGCATAGACCTGTATGCTTATATGGTTCAAGCACATGTGCAACCGTGACACCAGCCTTGCTTTGTATTTATCTAAGAAGATACATCCATGTAAGAGTGGTCATGCTTGGGTGCCTGCTGGGGTTGTAAAAT